ATAGAATAGAATAGAATAGAATAGAATAGAATAGAATAGAATAGAATTCTTTTATTGGCCAAGTATTTGAATTATGAGATTCCTTTTTGCAGGAGAACCCCCCCCCTCTTCTATGTGGCCGGGGGGGGCCTGGCCAGGGGGGGAGATAGGTCGGATGCCTCCTGCAGCACCCTGCCAGCCAAAATGGGGTGCAGGCCCATTTTGGCTGGTAGGGTGCTGCAGGAGGCTGTCCAGGCAAAAAAAAGGGGTGTGTGTGTGGGTGCACAGCCCACCCGCCCCCGCACTCCATTTTTGCTAGCAGAGGCACCTTTGTTATTTCCAGGACGGTCTCGTGGACCAGATTTAAACACCCCATGGGCCGGATGCGGCCCGCGGGCCTTGAGTTTGACACCCCTGAGATAGACTCTTCCAGAAGACAACAAGAAGGCAGGAAGTATATGCAGCGGTTTGCAAAGAAATAATAGAGAAATCTTTTCAGGCTTACATATTACTCTTGCTGGTTTCTTATAGCAGCCCTCTCTAAAAACGTTGAAGCGAAACATCAGTTATAAATGGTTGTTACTTGGTTCTTGGCTCTCTGCTGTCACTGCTGCGGCTACTTATGCCCTTTCTTCTCTACGGCAGATGTCCCGCCACCTTCTGAGGCCTCTCATGGCAATGAGTTTGGGCTTGCATGATCAGGTGCAGGAGTTGGCATCTTTGCTGCTCCAGAAGGATGCAGAGATTGAGGACTATCGGGAGAGTGGCGCTACTCTCAGTCTAGGTGAGATGCTGTTTGGTCTCCACTGTGCTTTACCACTTTCCTTCATCATCAATGCTGGCCCTAAGGGTTCGACTCTTGGTCACTATCCAGCCTAACCTTGCCCCCCCCCCCCCCCCGCTTTAAAAAAATAAAAGGCTTTTCCAAACTACTAATTGTTCTAGGGGACCAAAAATGTTAGATAGTGACCAGCAGCTGGATTGCTTAGGGGCCTCTCAAAGAGGTCTTTGAATGTGTGCTCCGGACCAAGAAGCTACAGCCAGTGCCTGGCTGTAGAGAAATTTGAATTGGGTAGGTTTTTTTACTTTCACATGTGTGAAGGTCCACTAAGAATTTGGAGCAAATGGAAACTGCTTTTCCTTCATTCTCTCCATCACAAAGTTTTAAATTTCAACAGCAGTAGGGAGCTTGCAAGCATGGCTATTTCAAAACGCTTCCTATTTATTTTGATATTTCTATTGCAGAACGTCTAAAGACAGAACCCTTTAAGGAAGAATCTTTCCTGCACACATTTGAGACTAAGGTACAATTTTCCTTTTATTATTTAACATTTGTGCACTGGGGAAAAGACCTTTCTTTTCACCTGAGGGCAGGACAAGAAGCAATGGGTGGAAGGTAATTAACGAGATAACCACTTAGAACTAAGGAGAAATTTCCTGACAGTTACAACAATTAATCAGTGGAACAACTTGCCTCCAGAAGTTGTGAATGCTCCAACACTGGAAGTTTTTAAGAAGAGATTGGATAACCATTTGTCTGAAATTGTGTAGGGTTTCCTACCTAAGCAAGGGGCTGGACTAAAAGACCTCCAAGGTCCCTTCCAACTCCTATTCTATTCTATTCTATTCTATTCTATTCATATTCCTATTCCTATTCCTATTCCTATTCCTATTCCTATTCCTATTCCTATTCCTATTCCTATTCTATGTTAATGTGACAAATTGTATCATAATCAATTATGCACTCTACTGGTACATTGTTTTGGATGTTTTAATATTATATCTATTGGGCATCCTATTTTATCCAATATTTTATTTTGGTCCCATGCCAGATCATTTGATTGCTCTTTCAATAAGCTTCATATATACTGATGAGCATTGCTTTGGTTGGGCCATGGGAATGGGAAGGAAGGACTGTTACATTAAGGCAATGTGGCTTTAATATAGGATGATTTAATGTTTGTCTTTCTATGCTATTATGCACTCATGCTTTGAACCCCAAAGAAAATAAAGCATTGTTGCATTATGCTAGGTAAAGGAGCAGTTAGCGTGATGTCTAATTATATCATGGAGAATAAATTAGCTTGGAGTTGCAATGATATATGAATGTTACCGATATAATATTAGCTTTATTAGATAATAATAGTAAGCAGTAAGTAAATAATTGAAATAATATGTGAAGTAGCTATTGATTCTGTGAAATTCTCATAACCTCAAAGCTACAATCTCCATACTTCTTTGAGAGGATATAATGTGATTAAGTTGATATCGAACAAAACAATTGGTATGACAAATATTTAAGAAATTATTTCCTCTTGCCTGCCATTACTATTAAGATTTCAGAGATCTCCTGTAGAAACTTTTATCTTGATAATGCCAATGTTAAAACCCTCAAATGGCCATAGCTGAGAATATTAAACACTACTTATTGCTTTTATTAGCTTATTCTTTGTCAGCTCTGTTTATTATTATTATTATTATTATTATTATTATTATTATTATTATTATT